CAAGAAGATGTAATAATCATAAACATACATGAACAAACATTAGAGCTTCTAAACATATGAAGCAAACACTGAGGAAAGAAGAGCCAGCTCTATATTATAGTAGGAGACCCCAATACCCCACTTCAAGAAGAGACAATATCCACCATTAGATCAATCAATTTAATACACGTTATTATACACAGAACAAAGGAAAAACATGATCATTTCAATTGATGCAGAAAAAGCAGTTGACAAAATTCAACACCCTTTCACGATGGAAATACTCAACTAATTCTGAATAGAAGGAAACTGCCCCAACATTATACAGCCATATAAAAAGTCCCAGCTGACACCCTCTCAATGCTGAAAGACTGAAAGCTTTTCCTCTAAGATCAGGAACAAGACAAAATGCCCACTCTCACTACTTCTGTTCCACACAGATTGGAAGTCTGCACCAGACAGAGCCATCTGGGCAAGAAAAAGAAATAAAGCATCCAAATTGGAAAGGAAGTATTAAAATTTTCTGTTTGCAGGTGGCATGATCTTACATGTAGAAAATCCTAAAGACAACAAAAAAATCAACATACAAACATCAGTTGCATTTCTATACAATAACAATGAAAAATCCAAAGAGGAAATTAAGAAAATTTCATTTTTTAATGGCAACAAAAAGAATAAAACACTTAGAAATGAACTGAGTGAAAAAGGCTGAAAGAAAAAGACACAAATAAATGGAAGCCATCCCATGTTCATGGATTGGAAAACTTCCACCCAAAGGAATCTATAGAGTCAATACAATCCCCACCCAAGTCATAATGGCATATTTGGTCAAATGATTTTCAACAAGGGTGCCAAAACCATTCAGTAGGGAAAGGACAGTCAACACACGTTGCTGGGAAAACCACATATCCACATGCAAACGAATGAAGTTGGATCCTTACCTTATTATGCTATGTGCAAAAATTAAAACTATAAAACTCTTAGAAGAAAACATAGGGAGAAAGCTTCATGACATTGGATTTGGCAATGAAATCCTGGATATGACAAAGTGTGCAGGCACCAAAAAAAAGAATAGAGAAATCGGACATCAAAATTTAAAACCTCTGTGCGTCCAAGGACACAGTCAACAGAGTGAAAAGGCAACCTAGGGAATCGGAGAGAACATTTTCAAGTTGTCTAGCTGATAAGGACTTAGTGTCCAGAGTTGTAGTAGTTCTTTCTATATTCAACAACAAAGCCACATACAACTCAATTAAAAAGAGGGCAAAGGACCTGAATAGACATTTCCCCAAGAAAGACATATAAACAGCCAACAAGCACAGGAGAAGATGCTCAACATCACTTCTCATCAGGGAAATGAAAATCAAAGCCATAATGAGATATCACCTCCCAACCATGTGGACAACTACTATAAAAAACAAACAAAAAAAGCCCAACCTCACAAGATAACAAGTGTTGGTGAGGATGTAGAGAAACTGGAGCCCCTGGGCACTGTTAGAGGCTGCACCATTGTACACTCCCACCATGGAAAATAGTATGGTGGTTCCTCAAAATATTAACTATATAATTAGCACATGATCCAGCAATTCCACTTCTGGGTATACATTCAAAAGGAAACGAAACCTTTATCTAGAAGAGAGATTTGTACACCATGTTCACAGCAGCCCAAAGGTGGAAGCAACCCAAGCGCCCATCAACAGACAGAGAAACAGAATGTGGTCCAACCACACAATGGAACACTATTCAGCTCACAAGTGAAGGAAATCCTGAGCGATGCTACAACACGGATGAAAAGACAACTACTTTATGATTCCAGTTACATGGTGTGTCTACAGCAGTCAGATCCATAGAGACAAAGTAGATGGTGGGGGCCAGAGGCTGGTGGGTGGGGAAGGGGAATTAGTGTTTAATGGGGACAATTTCTGTTTGCAGAGATAAAAAGTGTTCTGTAGATGATGGTGGTGGTGTTCGCACAACAATGTGAATGTACCTAATGCCACTGGACTGTACACTGAAACATGGTTAAGATGGCAAATTTTATGTGTATTTTACTGCAATTAAAATTTTTTAATGACATTTGAATTTTCTATGTAGATTAAATAGTAAAAAGCTACTTGCATTCGTCTGTGCAAATTTCTCAAATGACTGTCAAAGAAAAGTGAAAATTTTATCCAAATAATAAAAACAACATAGTTGAGGTGTCTCTCCTGTCTGACACAGAAGAACAAACACCGTGTGTGGAGAATCTCGCCATCCTGAGCGAGAGACATGTGAAAAGCCCTCTCGCGTCCTCAGGTGGCTGTGCTCTGAGCACCTCTGTTCTCCATGTGGGCCTGAGTCGGTGCTGGGGGTGGGGAGGGCAGCAGAACCCCCAGGAATACGCCTGAGAGATGCATGTGCCAATGACACCCAGAAGGTGCTGGCGAGGGGGCACTGCAGTCACACCTGTGCGGTGGGAAGGAGCAGGCCACACCAGCCATAGCAGGGGTCGGGAAGGTGCACGTGGCACGTCCCTGCTGGGATTCTGGGGGGCGCCCAGGGGACACTGTTCTCCAAAAGTGAGGGTCTGCTTCCTCTGCAAAAAGGGACAGAAAGCAGAGCTTGTCGGGAGTGAGGTCAGAAGACGCGACCACACCCAGATAGGAGCAGGGGGGTGCGAGCTGAGAAGCAAGTGGATGTCGGGCCTTTCAGCCGAGCAGGTGTCGGCAGCAGGAAATCACTGGGTCCCTCAGGGTTTTCCCTCCCAGGTTTGCAGATCCTTGGGTATCTCACCGGGTGGGGGTGATGCTGCGTTTGGTGGGGAATACAGGAAAGGGAGAGGAGTGAAGCATATGCATTTTCTCACACCGTTAATGAAAGAAAGAAATGTCATAAGCCAAGACAGCTTCTGCCTTTTCATCTGTGGTTTTCAGCACACTTCCTTCTGTAACTATGGAGGAAAGCAGCAGATGAAGTTTACAGCCTGTTTATTGCTAGGTTAGGGCCCATGATGAAGAAAATGAGCTCTAACCAAGATACGTCTCAGCTATCCCGTTAAAGGCAAAGGATTTTCCAAAAGGGAGGATGTCACTAAACTGAAAACAGACGCTTCTCCTCAGTAACTTCAGTTTCCAAGGAATTATCCTAATGCTTAAAGGAGGACACACACCAATTCTTCACAAACCCTTCCCAGAAAATGGAAGGGAACACTCCCAAGGCAAGCCCCTTCTAGGAGGCTGTTTTCACCCTGATACCAAAACCAGACAAAGACTCACCAGAAAAGCACAGCTAATCTCTCTTGTGAAAATGCTCAGTAAAACCAGCAAACTAAACCCACCAACTGTGTATGGAAACCACATGGGACGTGGGCCTGAAAATGCAAGGTTGGTTCAACACACAAAAGTCAACACACGACCACCTCTGTAGATGTAGAAAGAGCACTCGAAAAAATCTAACATCCTTTCATGATTAAAAAAAAAACAAACACGTCAACAAAGCGAGGCTGGATGGGAGCACCTCACCCTGATCCAGGCGTCCACAGAGAGGCCCAGCATGCACCACACCCACAGGCGAAGGGCAGGGAGCCTCCCAGGAACATGCTAGGATGTGTGTGCACTGCCATCCACGTGCATGGGGGTGTGGCCGGAAAGCTGGGAAGGAGAGGAGAGAGGGAAGGAGGGAGGGAAGAAAGAAGGAAAGGTGAAAAGCCACCTCTATTTGCAGAGGACACGATGTATATCCACGTCCTAAGGAATCTACAAAAAATACCGCTAGGTTTAATTAGCGATTTCAGCAAAGTTACAGGATACAAAATCAGTATACAAACACCTTACATGAGCATTTTGTTTGATTCTGTATGTTTGTTAGAATCTGTATGATTCTAAAAGCAGCATTTACAGCAGAAATAACATCAAATCCTTCAATACTGTCCCTAAAGGAGACATGGTTCTCCATGGACAGCCCTGAGCAAACGCACAACAGATGCCATGAAACTCCCAGACTAGCACCTGGACCTGCTGCAGAACCTAACGTGGCTCCTCCTGGCCCATGAGTCACAACCCGGGTGAGAAAATGTACCTCAAGGCAAAGGAAGACGCCACAGACTTCCAGATGCCACTTCCTGAGGGTGGCAGTTCCCGCAGGAGCGGCTCTGGGCCCACTCCTGGCCGTGCTGAGAGGGTAGAGGGCGTGCAGATGACACATCGTGGGGAGCGACACCGTGCAGCCCGAGTCTGGTGAGCCCTCTGATGGAGCCACACTCAGAAATGACACATGAACCTGCAGCTCAGGACGATCCCTCCCTTTCCTGTTCACGTCATCTGATCTTCCGTAAATGAGTGATCAGGACCCAGGAACTGTGTGCCTGGAACTCTGCCTGCCCCCAAATGTATCCTGCTCACGCCCCCTCCCAGTGCTGCGGGCTCAGGCACACCTGCTATAGGTTTTGCCAATGCCTGTGTGCGGTTTTGGGTCCAAGCACATCTGCTGCCTCTGGAAACGGGCTAATTAATAGGGGGAACAGCTGGACTCTTCTCCCAAGACTTTTAATGTTATCTGGGGAAAAAACTCACTTCAAGAGGTTAACGTCCTCCTAAGAAGAAACTTATACAAAAAAGACTAACACCCCAAGAGTAAAACAGGCAAAGAACACAATTAGGTAATTTGCCAAAGCAAAACAAAATACAGGGCTTCCCTAGTGGCGCAGTGGTTAAGAACCTGCCTGCCAACGCAGGGGGCACGGGTTCGAGCTCTGGTCTGGGAAGATCCCACATTCCGCAGAGCAGCTAAGCCCATGTGCCACAACTACAGAGCCTGCGTGCTGCAAACACTGAAGGCTATGTGCCTAGAGCCCGTGCTCTGCAACGAGAAGCCACCAGAATGAGAAGCACGTGCACCACAACAAAGAGTAGCCCCCGCTCGCCTCAACTAGAGAAAGCCCGCACACAACAACGAAGACCCAGCTCAGACAAAAATAAATAAATTTATATGTTAAAAAAATACAGAAACAACTCGCCAATAAGCTTTCAGAAGACATGTCCTACCTCATAGCCTCTTCACGTCCATCTTCGGGGGAGAAAGATGCCGCCTTCCATCCTCGCCAGTGCTCCGGAAACATCCTTACAAACAACTGACTCCTTTCCCTGGTTCTGCTTCTCGTTTATCGTAAGGAGATCAGCAGATGCACACAGGTGCACACGTGGTGATGCTGATCACAAAATGATCTGTTCCAGCTGTGTGGTACCAGGTCGCCAGTAAAAACCATATTTTCACAAACACTTTTGAAAAAAAGGCTGGTTATAAAATGAAAACAGTATATATGATGTTTACGGTTTTATGAAAAGCTTTCACCCAATACACACAGAGGGAAACTATCATTTGACAATTAAGCATAGTCTTGGCTGTGTCAGTTCAGCACAGAATGTAGTGAAAATACACTCTTTATTTACAAATATGCAAAACAGCAAATTTCCATGTGCTAAGAAGGAAGTAGAAATGACTTTGCTTGGGTCCTTGACCCTGTTCAGTCTCCCCTACACCTGCCGGGGCCATTCCTGCATTCCTTCTGGCAAGCACAGCTATCTCTGGGTGGCAGGGTTATATGCAAGTTTTATTCTTTTATAAACCTTTATTTTCAAAATTTTCTAAAACGTACATGCAATACTTTGAAAATAAAACAATCTTTGAAAGGTTTCAATAAATGATATCAAAATCATTGATACTACTTCCTTCAGTAAGATGCAAAACTGATGAAGTTAAAATCGGCAGATAAACATGATTTATTACTTTGCCTGCAAAAGGGGATTCAGAGCAGTACAGTGCAGGTCACACTGGGCTGGCCCCCAGGTTAGGGCCCCTGCCTGCCAGCATCGGGCCATGAGCCCAGGATCACAGCCCCAGACTCACGCCTTTGTGGGTCTTGGATGTCTGCACAATTCACAACCCAACGCTGAGCACCCAGAAGACATGCACATACTTCCCTGGGTTCCTTCTGTATCCAAGGGGATTCATATGGACACGACCAATACAGTTAAAATACATCTCAAGAAAAATAAATATTCTGCACAATGTCCTTACAAGGATCAATGATCTATCCCCGCCCCCGATCACTACAAAATCAGGAAACTATCATTTGACAATTAAGAAGCGTATGCTTGGCTGTTAGTGTCAGTTCAGCACAGGATGCGGTGCTGAAAATACAGACTCTTTCTGAACCACATTCACAAACATGCAAAGTTGCACATTTTAATGCGCTTAGAAGAAAAGCATTTTTTAAAGAAGGAAGTAGAAATGATTTTCCTTGGGCTCCCTAGCCCCACTTCACGCGTGGAAACAACAGATGCTCCCGCCCGCAGGTGCCAGGGCACTTTTCCACGTCCCTCCACGCCCTCCAGCCTGGGCACCAGGTCACGGCTCGGTCACGAAGGACGCGTCCTACCACGCTGCCCAGGCCACGGCGCGGTGGGGCCCTTAGAACTTGAAGAGGTCGATGAAGTGCTGCGGGGACACGGGCGTGAAGCAGCTGTCGGGGTCAGCAGCCGTGCAGGGGTGGCCCGAGTCCTGCGGGAGGAGTGGGTTGTTACCACACGGGGCGTGTTTCTGGAGGGAACGCAGCTCAGAAGTCACCAGCTGCTTGTTTAAACGCGCCCCGGACCCCACCACAAAGGTGCGTGGACAGCAAGCGATGAAAACTACGAAAATGAAGGCAGCCACACGGCTCCCCGGGGGAGAGACTTCCCGAAGGAATTCCTGCTCCAGGGGATGGGGAGACGGGCCGCCCTGAGTTAGGGCCCCAGAGGGAGCCCTGGGCTCTGCGCCCCCGTCCTGGCCGCGCTCCTCCCCTCCCGCCGTGGGTCAGGGTCCACCCCGGGACCTGCTCTCGGCACCGCCCACCCCACTCACCAGAGGGCCCAGCACTGCGTCCCGCAGCAGAAACGGGGCTCAGGTCAGGAGACAGAGCAGCCTCAGGACGGGGCCAGTAAGGCCGGGGACCCGGCGGCCAAGTCTACACCCTCCCTCTGGTCTACAGGGCAGCTCATGGGACCCCCGGTCGTGGCGAAGCAAGCAGGCCAGTCGCACATCAGCAGAGGGTGCGGCCTGAGGGGCACCAGCCTCCTGGGGACGCGCGCAGACGCGGGCAGAGCAGGAGGTACCTCGAGTAATAAAGCAAGGCGGCAGTCCTTGGAGACGGCGGAGAAAGGGTCAGGAAGGAGTGCAGAGAAGGGAGGAAAAAAGGGAAAACAGGGTTATTAGGAAGAGCCAGACTGTACTTAGCATTTAGGCTGGATGTGTATTATTTACGTAAATGGCTAAAATCATCGGGCAGCTGAATCAGAGGCACCGTCCAGCACCTGAAGGGCCACCTGGGACACTGCCACAGTTTCCACTTCCTCGAGTCTCGGACTGACAACTAATGAGGCTGCAGAGCTACATAACCGTCGGAACTGTTCACTGAAAGTGCACAGAGCGACACTGACACATACGGTTTACACTGCAAATATTTATGGCAGGTTTCTCAGAAGCTCCCTCATTCCCTCTTTGCTGTCTGAGAGTCAACTCCGTGGAATTCAGAGCACGAACCAGACTCCACGCAAGCCCAGGCACCCCAGAGCCCGGATCCCGCGTGGACCCCTGCGCATCCACGGTTTTCAGCTCGAGGTCAGCACCAACCTACAGCTCTCGCCTCTTGCCGGCCCGGCCACCTGGCCCGGCTTCCCCACCCTCGCTGGAGATGGGGGCTGGCCATCAGCGCGGGCTGGGGCCAGCAGCCTCCCTGCTCCAGCCACAGACCCACGGTGTGGACCTGGCAGTGGACACGCCGAGACAAAAAAGGACACGGGGTCCTGATTCCCAGCCTTTAACTGGACTCATTCTGTCCGGCTTCCAACTCAGCCAACCCCCAGTGTTGACCGAAGTTCAATGAAGTCGAGAAACTCAGCTGGAGGACGGTCAGGCGGAAGGAACACAGCGGTCTCGCGTCACTACTCAGCAACCCGGGAGGGCCGGCCCACAGAAGCCAGACAGACCCTGAGCCGGCACCTGCGCTCGCCTGAGTGACTTGGCTCAGTGACTCCAAGACCGTGGTGCACAGTTCTTAAGCCCAGTATTTCCCCTTCTTTCACTTTGGAGGAGTTCCCACAAAGGCAGGTAGAAAACTAACCCCCAGACTCCAGAGAGTGAAGCCAGAACAGACAGGACGGCTGGGGCAGCTGAGAGGTCAGAGCCCAGGCCCACGTGGGCGGAAGAGGACGAGTCTGGCAGCGTGCGGGAGCCGCACCATGGCGGGTCCCCACCAGCACCCGGTGGCATCTGATGGTGTCACGCTGCTGTCTCCCCATCAGCAGAAAGTGCTGGCGAAGGTGAGTCAAAGCGCAGGGGCCACTTCTGAGCACCAGCCCCGCGCAGGGCAGGGCACTGCTTAACCTTCACGACTCCACGCGGCAGGTCTGCCCCGACAGGAGGCTCCACGAGGCTGGGAACTAGGGTGAGGCCATGGGATGGTGTGGGATGAGCCGGGGGGGAGAGTCCGGTCAGCTGGGGCAACGCAGGGGGCCTTCCTCGGGAGCTGACACTGCAAGCAGTTTCCACCAGAAATTCCAGAGACTCGTCTTTTTTTTTTTTTAATTTCCACCCACAGATTCAGAATAAAGTTGGAATGGCCTCTAGGAGAAAAAGCTGCAGTGTGACCCCACGGGTGGACCGAACCAGGCCCTGAGGCCTGAGGCTGCATGGACATCGAAGTGCTCAGCTTTCAAGGCAAGACTGAACATTTCAGAGCCAAAAGACCAGCAGGAGACACTTGTTCTGAATTTTCATAAACAAAAGAATCCGCAGGCCAATTCTTCTGGAAACCTAAAAAATCACATCTCAGTTTTAAAAAATCCAGAACTTCCATGCTTCTCGATGCCTCAGCAGCACATTCTTACACCAACAGCAGGGAGACTAAGGAGGGTGCTTCTCTGTTCACTACTTCAGAGACAGGGCTCCCACACTCTCCACACTGCAACGGCATTCTTAGAGAAACGCCCATCACATCCGCCCCAGGAAGAAACACCACTGCTCCCAGTCTCTCTCTGGAATAAAGTGATCTGCTCAGAACAGAAAACCCTGGGGAGGAGCGTCAGTTCAGAGCAGCAACCAGACGGTCTCGTCTGCTCTGACTCAGCCGTGAAGACGCCTCCTCACGTGTTTTCCACGGGCACCTGCCCGGGTATGCGTTTCTATCCCTGTGATTGGGACCAAGGGCGCACAATAAGGGCTCCGCTCCATGTACTGTAATCCCGCTGACTGATTCGCCTGCGTCCCCGCGCAATGCAGCCGGCACACCGGCGAGAATGAGCGCGAGGTGCCCCTGCCCCAGAGGAACAAGGTTCCACAGAACAGCCACTGCAGCCATGTAACACATTTCTTCTTTTTAATTGTGTGGGAAAAGCCACACTAGAATACAAAACAACCAATTACCAATGACGTGACCTCCTGTTGGTCATGAGTGGGGACAGCAGGACCTGCTCGCCTGCAGCCCAGGAGGTAAAGCTCTGTTGACACAGGGACTCTCACCCCACAACCACGGATTATAGTTAAAAAAGAGCCACATTACCACGGATATAATCTGAAATGGAAACAATTTAAAGTAGTCATTTCTCTTCCAACAGTTTAGAGTCTGCCATGTAATCCATGCAACAAATCACAGATAAATGAAGAGCAAAAGAAATACACCAACAGCCAAGGCGCTGACCAGGTGGAAGGCCTGCGCCTTACAGCCACGCCCAAGGACACGGAGGGGCAGGCGCACACCGCCTGCCAGTTTCGCCACTTTTCTCCCTAGTGAAATTTCACCACGTTAACAAGCAAATTCAAACTCAAGGCAAACTATGGAAATGATTTTACTGAGAGGAGGTGCATGGAAGCACCCCACTCCCCCGCCCTGGAAACTTGTTTTTATCAGAGTCTGGACAGGAGAGGAAGGGAGCCAGAGAGGGAGGGGATGGGCCCAGACAACTGCGGACATGGCTCAGTCTCCACCACGGACCAGACTTGCTAAGTGTGGCTCAAACACATGAGAAGCCTGGGCACCTTCATGGGCCTCGCCTCTGCTCCAGGCACGGGGCTGTGAGGAGAAGCCCCCTGGAGGTGCCGTCTCCAGGCCTGCCCCCTGGGGGTCCCGACAGTGGAGCCTGAGGCCGAGTGTGGAGGGCAGCTGAGGGGCCCCCTCGGCTTCCAGAAGAGGGTGGGGGATCCTGAGCCTCAACAGCAGAAAGCAGCCCCACCCGCCAGGACTCAGGCCGAGGCGCCAGCCAGCGCGCTCACCGCCCTCGGGGACAGCCCCCCACCTGCTACCACAGTGCAAGGGGACGGGGTGGGTGGTCCGGCGTTCAGGTCCAACCGCAAGTTGTTCTACTTTTGTGAACCTGTTCCCCTGCCCCAGTCCTTGGTGATACATCATTATCTTATCACAAATACAACTTGCCTTTTTTTTTTTTTTTTTTTTTACCATTACCGTTAGGTGAATAGTTTGTTTCTCCAAATTTTAATCCTCAAACTCCAAGACTACATCTGAAATTTTTACCTTCCAAAAGAGGATGCTGCAGTGCCGACAAAAGTGCAGTGTGTCTCCATACTGTTCCTTAGTGGGGTAATGTTTCTGAAGTGCAAAATACATCAACTTCCATTCGATATGACCTTTTTCTGAAAGGATCAAGTGTCTACAAAACTAGACAGACAAAATTCTGTTCAGAATCAGATGGTTTTCATAGCATAACAATTTTTTAAAAGCAGTATACTGCATGAAACATTCAATTATTAGAAATTAAATTTCAAATATAATTCAGTCTATACACTGGAATACCATGCAGCTGTTAAAGAGACTTAAAGGTTCCGATCTGGAATGATGTCCACGACATACTATTAAGCTAAAAGTAAGTTACTACATCATGTACCTGCCAGGGACTTGTAACTAGAACACAAAAAGAACACAACTCAGTAACAGAAAGACAATCCAAATACAAAATAGGCAAAGGACTTGAAAAGACATACAAATGAGCGACAAGCACATGAAAAGATGCTCAGCGCCTCGGGCATCAGATCAGGGATGGGAGGAGGCAGCCCCTCACGCCCCCCGTGAGGCTGTGACCAAACACTCAGAGTAACAGGTGGGGATGGGGGCGTGGAGCAGTCGGGGGCTGCCCGATGGGGCGGCGACTTTGAGCAACAGCTTCTCGGTTCCTCAGAATATTAGACTCCACTCCGGGGCGCCCCCCCCCCGCCGCCCCACCCCGAGAAGGGGGACCATGGCGGCCCCGTGGCCTGGCCGCACCCAGCCTCACCCCCTCCAGCACGCACTTCTCAGTTTCAGGGCCCGAACCTGCTCACCTCCAGGACGCCCCTGCCCGCCATGCCCCTCAGAGTGGCCGTGTCCACCTAGGGGACGGGCACGTGACCCCACACATCCCCCAAGCCCATGTCTGAAGAGACACGTGACATCTGTCCCCTCGTCAAGGACCCCCTGGGGCAGGATCGCATCCTGCCCCATCTGAGACTGTCCCCTGCCCTTCACGCTGCCGTGCGTGTCGTGGATGCCCAGCTGTCGGTGCTTCACTCCAGAAACACGGGGTGGGGGGCGAGGAGGGGGGCAACGATGAGGGGGACACACAGGAGTCTGCCGGTCCCCGTGGCTAGTCCCGGTCCTGGGAGGGCAGAGGTGCGGGGAGCGCGTGGCCACCCATGATCCCAGAGGTGACACACCACCCGGAGAGGGGCCTCGAGTTACAGGAAAGACGATGGGCACGTCCTCGACAGGAAGAACCTGCTCTTGTTCTGCTTCTCTGTTCTGGGCTGTGCTTAGAATCACAGCTCTTTCTCAACATGAAGAACAAGCTTTCCCGTAAGTGATTCTAGCCCATTCCCCGAAGTGGCCAGGCCTGGCCGCTGGGGCCGGAGCCCATGCTCACCTGCTTCTCGCCGAAGTGGTACTGGCAGAGCTTCTTCCACAGCCGCCGGTCCTCGCTAAGCGCGGACAGCGTCGGGGTCACCTGACCCAGAGTGACGATGTCCCACCCATCCGAGAACCTGTACAGGATGTTGCTGAGCATGTGCACGGGAAGGTCGCTGAGCGTCAGGCCGCTGTCCACCTGCTGGGAGGACCCGCGCGCTTACTCCAGCGAGAAGGCGCAGGAGCGCGGCACTCACACTGACGTCTGAGGCCCAGGCGACGGGAAGGCCGCCCGCCCCTCCTTCCTCCCCACTTGTCTCCAGATAACGCCCAGCAGCGGCCCTGCCTGGACCTGCGCGACAAGCATTCCCTTCCCTGGGGATCCCGACCGCTGACACCCACACTCCCCGAGTTCGCCAGCTGACGAGGCGTCACCACGATCAGCTACTAGGGGACAGTGGCACCTGGCCACGTCTATCAAGGCCTGGATAGCAGACACGCCCCAGATGCGTGTGGCCCTCACAGCACAAGCCTCTGCCCGTGGGAACGAGGTGGGGTCTGTGCGGCACTCACACCAAGGCCGCCTGGACACTGGATGTTAGATCGTCCCTTGTAACTGCAGGGCCTTAATTAGGGAATCACTGCTCTTTGTAAATCCCACATCTAGGTAGCAAATAAATGGCCCAAAGTTACAGTGTTCCAACGCCACCTTTGAAAGCAACCAGAGATAAATAAAACACAACCTAAAACACTTACTTTAGTCAATAGGGTCAACATTTTTCTTGATGAAACTAGTTACCAGAATAAACAAAAAGCATCAGAACAACTGGAGTGATCTGCATGCTCCTTCTGAACTACAAACACATGTACACACACCATGCAGCGTACAACACATCAACCCTAGAGAAGCAACAGCAGATGAACAGAGTCACTACTATACAATTTAGCCTTAATCCATTGAACGTTATTTTAGCCTGAAATACCTAATCTCCTATAAAGGTAAATCAATTCACCACCTCATCACCCACAGGATCAGCTCTTTTTAATAATTACCATCCCCACCGTCTTTCCAATGACACCTATAACCCATTAAAGGGTCTTCTGGTCTTAATCCATCTTAAAACAGTTTAATATTTATGAAATGTAAAGGAAAAAAACCTTTGGAAAAGCTGTAATAGTCTTTCACATACGCTTAGAAGTAACAACAGTGTTTGTAACAGAAAAACAGAGTGTACTCACTTGTAGGCCAAGAAATGCATACCTCAGTCATCTGAAGATTCTGTAGCTGCTGTTGCCAGTTGAGAATAGTTTCTAACCGGCAAACCCAAATGTTGATATTTCCCACCAGAACGGACTTCCCCACTCCTCTAATTAGAATGCAAAGGGTAGAGCTTAGGTCTTGGAGAAGATCTTTGATTAGGCGAGGGTTTTGGTGGTCATCAAGAACTGGAACAAACAAAAACAATGCACTGATACAGTCAACCCCCGCTGTTAAGAATGACCTGCTTTCACAGCCCAAGGGCCCATTAACAGATAACACAGATATACAGAGTGTGATACATACACACAATGGAATATTACTCAGCCTTAAACAGGAAGGAAATTCTGACACGTGCTACAACGTAGATGAAACTTGAAGCCCTTATGATAAGAACCAGACACAAATGAACAAGTATTGTGTGATCCTCCTTATATGAGGCCCTTAGAATAGTCAAATTCATAGAGACAGAAAGTAGATGGTGGGCGCCAGGGGCTGGGCAGTGGGGGGAGGGTCGTGCTGGTTGGTGTTTATGGGGACAGAGTGTCAGCTCGGCAAGGTGAGCTCTGCAGATGATGGTGGGCATCGTTGCACAATGATGTGAATGTACTTAACGCCACTGAGCTGTGCACTTAAGAGTGGTTAAGATGGTAAATTTTATGTATATTTAACCACAATAAAAAACTATGATCTAATTTCACTGCAACTCCAAAGTGGCATCATTTCTGAGATATCACAAGTAGGATGAGATTTTAAAACTTCAAAATATTGTCTGATAGTGTATTTTTGGTTGAGTCTACAGTTTTGCCTTTAAACCTGTCAGTCTCTGTTTTCTTTTATACTTAATCATGAGAATGGATATTTAAAATGGCATATATATGCATAAACTCAAAAGTTCCGTTTATTACTGGCCACTAATCAGGACAAACATTAAATTAAAATGACAGGCTTAGCCGATGCCTAAGAACTAAGTCACAACCTTGCTAATTATAGAAACACTATACAGCTAAGGTGAGCTGTGACTAGTTACCCATGAAACAGTAAGTGTCTTTTTAAAACTTAGGGATTAATTACCTTTCTCTGGGACTTCCCTGGTGGTCCAGCGGTTAAGACGCCGCGCTTCCACTGCAGGGGGCACGGGTCTGATCCCTAATTGGGGAACTAAGATCCCACATGCCACGCAGTGTGGCCCCAAAACAAAAAAAATTGTCTTTCTCATTACAATATGTTCTTCTGTATGCAAAAGCACCTTTTAAAGAACAACAATAACAACATCAAGAACTGAGCAGCCAACCCGAGCCCTTGCCCTTGCCCTGACACCATCACATTATTTGACACCATTAATACTGGGGGGAAATAAATGAAAAATCCAATCTCCTTGCACCGAATTTCTAATTAAGATTTAGATTATTAAAAATATCAGTCATCACCTTACCTTTTTGAACGATTTTATCCAGAACGTTGAAGTAGTTCTTCTGGGCCACACCGCTCAGCGAGGTCAGCTGGGACTTTGCGATCAGCTGCAACAGCTGTGGGGGGGGGGGGGGAGGTACAGGTGAGCATCACCTCTGAAGGGAAATGCCCCCAAGTGACAGGGAAGGAGAGCGCAGGCCGCAGGCCGTGACACCCTCCCCACGACGGCACATCTTTGGGGGCCCACCCAGCATCCTGCTGTGCCCTTTCCTCTGAATGTCCCAGTCTCACACGAGCTGAGCCGGACCTTCCCCAACGGCCTCACATCACGTCTGTCCCTCCGGCCTCCCGCCTGACACGCACGGCACTGCCCCTCCCTCCCGCAGCTGCTGCCTGGCGTGCCTCCCAGGCTCCTGCATGCGATGCCGGCACGGCACGGCAGCCGGCGGGGAAGGCCTGGGAAGGACGGGACAGCCTTCCCGCTTCTCTGCCCCAGTGCTGTCCCCTCCCCTCAGCTGCTCCGGGGAGAGCTGGCTGTCACAAACACGGCTCATCCGTATCAGTCTTCGGTGAACCCACAGCCCACCTCTCTGTACAAACTGGGTCTCAGGAGTCCTGTGTCAGCCGCTTCCCCGCGTCCCCTCACGTCCTGTAATTTCCGCCTCCCACGCGGGGCCTCGCCCTGGGCCACGCGTGTCTCTGGTGTGGTCCAGGGCTACCTCTGCCAAGTCCTCCCCACCTGGACACATCCATTCACTTCTTCCCATACTGTTTCTTAGTTCTTAGGCATCTGAGCCACTGTGGGTAAGCCTTAAACAGATTTTAGAATCTGTGAATTACATCTGCCTATTTCTCTGAAAAAGGAATTTTTCATCCCTCCTTTCCAATCCTCCTAGCTGCCTCTGTGAGTTTCCAGAGGGAGAAAAGAAAATGCTAACTCACATACTCACGTTGCCATGTTGACCGTGGAAGTTAAAAAAAATTACAAATATGACAATCACATGATGATTGTTGGGAAAAAAATCATTCTGCAACTTCCAGTATATTTACATAAAAGTGTCCTATGCTGCAGTGAACACAGAAACAACACTCCAGGGCCCTGGCCAGAGAACACCTGAGAAGCCCAAGGCTACAAGGTCAGTCCGGCTCCTCAATCTTTTTTTTTTTTAAAACATCTTTATTGGAGTATAATTGCTTTACAATGGTGCGCCAGTTTCTGCTGTATAACAAAGTGAATCAGCTATACATGTACATATGTCCCCATATCTCCTCCCTCTTGCGTCTCCCTCCCACCCTCCCTGTCCCACCCCTCTAGGTGGTCACAAAGCAAAATGTTAGCACCTTCCGTCTTCCTTGTTCGACCAGCATCACAATCAGCACCACTTTAACACTGACTCAGACCCTTTCCCCGCCTGCGTTTACAACCAACTTAGAGACCTGGGGCCAGCTTCACTGCTAACGACAGCCGGAAGGGGTGGGGCTCCCAGCGCTGACCCGACAGACTGAGCCACCGGCCCTGGGCAGTGAGTAACAACCAACCTTCCCTGACAGGCTCCCTGCTCTCAAGACCCTCAGGATCTGAGAGAAACAGACCAGATATGCAAATACATGCCCCTCCTGCTCCGCAAAGAAAAATGAGTGCGGCGCCCATGGGCCGCGGCCCTCAGAGAGCCGTCCAGGGACCCCCGGGACCCCAGATCTAAGCTACTTCCCTGGTCCCACTGCCGCCTCGCTCGTGTGCAGTGCAGGGTCCCGGTGCCCCACGAGGATGCTGCACACGCTGAATCCAGCCCTGAGAACGCACCATCTTCCACCATCGCAGTCGCTGCGAAGATGGGCACAGGAGGACACAGGCACTCTTTATTTTTAAACAGAGAAATATTTTTAAAACTTATTTTAACTTCCATATGGTAAATATTAATAGACAAAACCCACATAAGCAAATTTCTTTGGGGTCCTCAGTAGTTTCGAAGTGAGGAGGACCCCTGACACCAGGTCTTAGTCTGAGAATGGATATTCTGTCACAAAAGGAAGTAAGTATTCCAACCACCTCCTCCTATCATCAACAAAAACTACAGTTTTCTAATATCACGTAAAAAAATCCTTTAGAAAAAGGCTGAACTCACTAGCAGAAGGTGTGGGGTTGGCATGGTGGGTTAGCTAGTTATCCACAGGGCACCCACCAGAAAAACCACCACAGTGGGATGTGCAAACACAAGAGTGACCATGTTAATAGATGACAGTGAAATCTTAGGTTAAAATGGTAATTAACATAAAAGTGCAGAAGACAATTTTTTTTTTTAATTTATTTTTTGGCTGCATTGGGTCTTGGTTGCTGCGTGCGGGCTTTCTCTAGTTGTGGCGAGCGGGGGCTCCTCTTCGTTGCAGTACGCAGGCTTCTCATTGCGGTGGCTTCTCTTTGTTGCGGAGCATGGGCTCTAGGTGCATGGGTTTCAGTAGTTGTGGCACATGGGCTCAGTAGTTGTAGCTCACGGGCTCTAGAGCACAGGCTCAGTAGTTGTGGCGCACAGGCTTAGTTGCTCCACGGCACGTGGGATCTTCCCAGACCAGGGCTTGAACCCGTGTCCCCTGAATTGGCAGGTGGGTTCTTAACCACTGCGCCACCAGGGAAGCCCCCAGAAGACAATTTACAAAGAAGATATAACCACACATTAGCCTCTATTCAGCTAGATATATAAGACAAAATCTGTTGGAAACCTAAAGAGAATTTGTCAAAAATACAAATACTGTGGGAGATTTTTATACGTCTCTTCAAATTTAACAATTCTAAACAAGTAAGGATGTGGAGGAATTAAATAATATAACCGCCAAACCTTGTTTAATAAATAAGCAGAAAAACTTACATCCTTCAAATAGAGAATCTGCATTTTTCTTATGTGTCAATAGAATATTTACAAAAATTAACTATGAAAATGGCCACAAAGGAAAATTTAACGCATTTCAAAAAAACAGAGATTGTACAGGCCGAACTCTCTGATGATAATATACTAAAGCTAGAATTAAATGAAAGTACGGAAAACCTCAGCTATCTGAGCTCCCAGGCACGTCTGGAATGCCCAAGCGCACGTGTTACATGGTCAGGATGACAGCGTGGGTGTGAGGGGAGGACAGAGGGTGACGGTTTCGTGTTCAGGTCGCTCTTTCGTGCAGCACAGGGCACCCTCAATGGGCAGAGGCCGGGGGCCATGCCGTCTTCACTTCTGGCTTCACGCAGATTTCCACACTGACCCATTATTACCGAGGCGCTACCAGAAGGGCTGGACATGACTGCCTAATTCTTACAACACCCCTAGAAGACGTACTGTATTATCACGCTGCACAGCGAGAACTGAGGCCCAGAGATGAGGAAAATGACCCCAAAGTCACACAGTAACAGGGACTGGATTCAGGACTGAAACACTGCAAATTCTTGCCACCTGCGTCCCGTGAACCTCACGCGTGTCAGGACGCAGCGAACAGCTTCCACAGGCTTCAGCGATGTGCAAGTTGATTACCTGATTTTAAAAGTCTTCTCAGTTTTACTGTATTTAATGAAAAAGGAATGAGACCTAAACTCTGCAATAGCAGATTCTCACCTAGATGTTCACAAAGCCGGAGCAGTGCCAGCACGCAGGCTTGTTCGCAGACTCTGCGTCCATGTTGTTGTAACTCTCTGGGAAGTGTCAGGAGCTTTCATCAGGTTCTCCCAAGGTCCGTGGCCCCGTTCCTCCCCCAGGGATGAGGGTATCTCATGCAGGGCGAACGCAGGCTGCATCGAGAACAAGGGTCCCATCTGGGGGACCAGCTCGGGCAGGTGGCCTGTGAGAAGTGACCTCTTTTCGGACTGTCCCTCTTGTCCACCCTCCATGGGAATTAACACCTCATTTGGCTCTCATCCTAGTCACTGACTTCTAATACTGGCAGAAGGAAAAACTGTTATCTTCTATGAATTGAATTGTTACACAATCTATAATTTCAGTTTTGTTAAAAGAATTCTTAGTTCTTGCCTTTGGTCACATTCTACAAGTTACATTGTTGGCAGCATAAATATGCGGGAAGTTAAAGAAAAATGAAGATGGTACTGGACACTTGCAGACTGTGCTAGTGACATTTCAAATTTCCAGAGGACATGCCATCTAATCAGCACACTCCTGCTGGCTGCACACACACATCCCATAAAACGTCAGAGCTACATCTAATTTAATTCTCTTGAGGCCAAACTGTCCAGTTAGTGTCCAGTAGTGTTTCCTTTGACTGGAAGCAGGCATCCCTGGGAGGTCCCACGTGGTCTCTTCTCCTTCATGAATCTTGTTCTTAGGAGCAGTTACATATTTTGCTAGCTTACTTTAATCCAACACTTTTTAAAGGAAAAAATTAGAGAAACTCCTGGAGTAAGGAGCCTATACCAATTCTTGAATCAACAAGAAGGACGTTTTTTAAAAAATAAATTGTAAACATATCTTTTTGTGCTAAGGAACTCAGAGGGCATTCCTTTTGTGAAGAATTTGTTTTCTAATAAGGAACTTCCTCCATTTCTAAATACCAGTTTTCTTGAAAAGAGGAGGTGCCTGTAGGTTCAGTAAAACGACTGGCAAATTAATTATTTTAGTCTCTTATGAGCCAGTTCATATTCAGGTAGAATTTGTGCAGAATGTTTACCATGGAAAAAATCACCAGAACAACTCACAGGACAACCTGCTCATCCGTCCCCTCATTGCGAGTGGAGCAGCTCCAGGTCTGTTCCAGGTGCTGGGGGTATGTGTGTGGGGGGGTGCCCAGGGAATGGGCACGTGGCAGGAACCAAGCTGGGCTGTGACCCAAGACACTGCAACGTGGCACACAAAGGCTCAGGTCAGAGATTCTACGGATGGCCCCTCTCAACAGTCGCCCTGAACTCAAAAGGCCACTGTTTTAAAATGTCTCCACGCGTGTCAGGAAGTCACTGCTTTCCATGAGAGGAGAACGCTACAGTATCAAGACAAAGAAGACCTTTAATACACGCATCTCTGCTGTCAGGAGCGCCTGTGACCTGAGGCACATCTTGCCCGCTTCTGCTCCCTGAATCTGGGGACAGAGCTGGACCTGCATGGCTGCTGTCCTTCCATCTAAGCTGCCC